GGCCTCTGAGGAGCAGGTGGCACCTCGATGATGTTTATTTAAGTCTGCTCTGTGCCACCGGGCCCTGTGCGGGTGCTTTAAACCAGGGGGCCCTGTGGGCCAAATCCAGCCTGTTTATGTACTGCTCCTGAGCCAAGACCAGTTTTGACTTTCTCAAAGGGTTGTTAAAACAAAAGAGACTGTGCGACATAGACGGTTATGATTGAAAACAGTTTTGCAGATTGAGCAAATAAAATTTCAGAATGCCTGGTTAAATTTGAATTTCTGAAAAACAACAAATCTTTTCGTGAGTGTTCCATATTTGGTACATTTACTAAAAAAAAAAAAAGAAAGTTCTTTTTTTATCTGAAATTTGGATTTCGCTGGGCACCCTGCATTTTATCCGGCAGCCCTAGCTCAAAGCCTGAAATAGTTGCTGTCTGCCTCTTTACAGAAAAAGTTTGCCGGCCCCAGGCTTACACATAGCAAACAAGATCAGGGGTCAGAAGGCCTTAGGACACTGCATGGAGCTGAGGTTCTGGTACTAGTGTTATTAATCAGAGTGATCACCAAACAGATAGCGAGCACTTTTCTCATGCCAGGCACTGTCCTAGGGGCTCAAGATCTACGTGGGACAGACAGACACTAGATGGATAAACCCCCAGAGGTGTGGGAAAGTCAGGCCGAGCGTAAAGCCAGACACTCTATTTTAGGCAGGGTGGTCTGAGCCCTCATCCTTTTTTGAGCTCTGTGCATGTTTTAAGTTTTTAAAGCAGGAATTTATATTTAGAAACTTTCAAGAGACTTTAAAAAGGCCCAAAGGCATCCAAGTTTAATAGAAGATCATCCTGAGGCAATGTCTGTTGGTTTCTCCATTACTCAGGCATCTGTTTGATCCTTGTTAATGAAACACCCCGATGATTCTGCTAGTTGGGTCCTGGTGATTTCCTCTGACTGCCGCTATCTTTCATAAGTGGCCATCAGCTCACACACAGTGAAAAACGTAATCACGAAACATCTGCAGATCCAACTCCAATATCCTGTCTGCATTCTTCTTTGAAACCAGGTCCAGTGATTATCGGTTTGAGTAGTGGAGACCTGGGTGAGTGCCATCTGCAAAGACTGGTATCATCTGCAGCTCTTTCAGACAGAAACCAGAAAACACCCTTCGAGACAAAACACCCAGAGCTCTGCACACGTTTTTATGAAATTCTCACATAGCAGCCCTGAGAGGTGGTGTGGGTTTCATCCCCATTTCACAGATGAGGACACTGAGGCCTAAAGTCACCCAGCCAATGGCTCAACTGGAGTTTGAATGGGGCCTGGTGGCTCTCAAGTTCATGTTCTTACTCAGTGCACTAGTGCCTCCCTAGATGGTGCCAACCTGTGCTGGGTCCTTTGAGGCCCTCAGCCTGCATTTTCCACAATCTTTTTGATAGCCCTGAACACTGGGCCATGTTACTTCCTTTCGGAGCTTAGAGAGCATGAACACAGCAGGGTGGAGAGGAGTAGCAAGTTAGTTTGGGACCTGGCGGGGTTCAAGGTGGGCAGCATGAGGGTACCTGGGTGTGGGCAGGTGGCGGAGGAGGGGAGTATAGACCGGGCAAGCCTGGGAGCCCCAGGAGCCTGCCTTCCTGCTTTGCATATTGGCCAGGATTTCCCTGCCTGAGATTAATCCTCCTTTTATGTTGTTTAAATATTTGCAGGAAGAGGGAGGGATGGCGGGAGGGCGGGGCTGGTTTCCAAAGGTTTGCAGGATGGGACTGGAGATGGGGTGGGCCCGTGCTCTGAGGTCTGACGTGGAGGGGCGGGGCCAGGCCAGGCCCGCAGGCCAGTGAGGCCCTGATTTGGGACATCCATTGAGGGCCAGGGTGTGGACTGAGTAGTTACTGTAGACTCAAGAGTCCCTGCAGTTTGTAGAAGCCTCTCGTTACCCCTGTGAGGCAGGGGTGCTGTTGTCTCCATTTTGCAGATGGGGAAACCTGGTCCAGCATCATGCGGAAGGTGAATGGCCCAGGGTTTGACCTCAGGTCAGTGACTCCACATTCCGGGCTCTTGCCTCTTTCAACTGCCTCCTGACATCTTGTCCCTAACATGGCTGGGTGTTCAGGGCTAATCTAGACCCAAACGGATGTTCAGTGAGAGCCCCGTATTGAAGCAGCTGGTGGCCGACTCCTGAGAATGAATGCCAGAGAAGGATAAAAGCTTCTTGACCATTTTGACTTTGATGTCCCCTCTTCCCCCACAGGAAGTGGTTGGCAGAGTCAGATCCTGACGCCCAGGTCCGTGCTGCTTTTGGTCCCTAAGTTCGGAGAGACTGGAATCCCTTCTCACAGGTTTCTCACCACCTTGGGATTTCAGAGGGCCTGACCCAGTACAGGGTCGGGCCCTCAGACAGATCTGGGTTCAGATTCCAAGTGGGCCCCTTCCTGGCTGTTTGTCCTTCGGGCAAACTGCATAAACTCTCTGAGCCTCAGTTTATCTATCTTTTAAATGGGGAAAACAATGCTTTTGTGAGGGTTAAATAAAATGTTCTATACAGAGCACCTGGTGCATAGGAGGCACTCAGTAAACGTTCTCTCTCCTTAAGTAACAAAAGCATTGGTTCTGAATGGCCTCCGGACGAACCAAGGCCCTGGATGTGAATCCTGCCTCCTCTGCGTGACCTTTTGTTGGGTGATCTAATCTTTTGTGTCTCACTTTCCCCATCTGTAAAATGGGAATAATTTGGGAAACTACTTCATTAAGGTTGTGCCTACAGTCAGTCCCTGGAGCATACTGAATGCTCGCTCAGAAAACAAACAAAATGAAACCTGAACTTCAGTGTCCTAAAACTCCCAACTGTTTGCTAGCCCAGCCTGCCTTTTCACATGTAACAGCACATTTGATCCTCATCACAGCCCCACAGGAGGATAGGTCCGCTTTACAGAAGAGGAAACAGGCACCAGCAGGGGTGCATAACTGGGCTGGGCTCACCCAGGACTGAGGGCCCTAGCTGGGATGTAAATGGAGGTCCGTGTGACTCCGAAGCATTGCCTCTGTGTTTCCTGAATGGGGCGTGGTTTCTGGGCCAAAGCTTAGGAAACCACTCAGGTTGCCAGGAGCCAGGATGCCACATTGCTTTCCGTCCCCATCTCCAAAGATCACCTCCAGGTCCTTCAAAAATGCTGACCAAGTTCAAGCCCATGGCTGGGAGGCTGAAGGGGAAGGTGGCTGACCTGAATTTCGGAGGTTCTGTGGCTGCCTGGCCCTTCCCCTTGCTCACAGGTCTGTGTGCTCTGTCCCCTGGGAAGGGAAGCAGCATCTTTGGTCCTGAAGTGAGGCAGTGCAGGCGTCTGTGAGACTCAGTGACCTGGGGAAGGCTCCCATCCGCATTCCCTTTGTAATCTCTTCTCCTGGCCTCAGGCTCAGCTTGTTCTTAACTAGGATGAGGTTCTAGCCCATGGCTGGCAGCCAGCGGGGCGGTGGGGGGAGTCCTCACTTGCTGGAACCCTAGGTGCTGCAGTCCCACCTGCACCACCCATGCCTGAGATCCATCCCCAGGACGGGAGGCCTGGGGCCAGACAGCCACGGGCTCCCCCCTGGAGCACTTACCAGCTGTGTGGCTGAGAGAGGGGTTGCCCTTCCTGAGATTCAGGATCCACAACAGTAAACAGACAGCCTGCTCTGCTCTGCAGTGTAGACTGGACACAGCGTGTGTAGTCAGGGTGCCAATAGGAAGCAGATGGTTCCCTCAAACGGAGTAGATTAAGGTGACTTTAATAAAGGGGCGATTGACTGAGGCGAGGGATGCTGGGAGACAAGGAAGGGGGCAGCACCCTGTGACTGTTAATGGGGGCAAGGAGGACCCAAAACCAGCACTTCCCCTTGCCTAACGGGTGCGAGGGAGAAGCCAGGAGAGGGGGGCTGGCTGTGTGGGAGGCTCCCTGGACTGCTCCGGCTCTTCCTTAAGGATTGTGGGAGATCATTTAGGTCCGCCCCGATCCTCTTCCTTCCCCACTTTCCCCCTCCTCCTCCTTCCCCTCCAGTCTTCTACTGCAGTCCGAGTGCTTGAGAATCACTTGGAAGGCTTGATAAACACCGTCTGATTCAGGGGGTCTGGGTGAGCTTGAGCAATTGTATTTGGACCCGTTCCCAGCTGGTGCTGGGCTGCTGGATCCTGCATCTCTCTAAGCTTGTCCTGCCTTGGGCCTCACTGGAGGGGCTTCCGGTCCAGTGAAAGCTGCCCTATCAGGACCGGATCCCTGTCTGGCACATCAGAGGTGCTTGGGAAGGATTTGTTGGGTGACTGAATCTGGAAGGGAAAGCAGGTAGCCTGGGAGTCAGACGCAGGCTGGAATTCTGTCTCCACTCTGGGCCGGCCCCCCTTCTCTGGGTGAGTTGCTTCACTTCCCTGAGCCTCTGTTTCCCCAAATCAGATCATAGATCCAGCTTGGCAAGTGACGACTAGGGATTTGAAACCAGATCTGCCAGCTTCCAGGCCTGAACTTTTACACAACACCCTCCTGATTCTTCTCTATATACCTGTTTCGTTCATTCGTTCACCCACTCATTTAGAAAATATTTATTGAGCACTTACTATGCACCAGGCACTGTTCTTAGTATGCACCAGGCCCCATGGGCACAGCAGCGAACAAGGCAGACGAGGCCCTGCGC